ACAGCTGCTGATGAGGAATCTTTGGTCTTCCTGGAATGTTAAACCGGTAGAACTGGTAAAACAATTTGTTCAGCAGTTAAATCGAAAATTTTGTTTCAGCAGAACAGAATCCTGGCTAGTATTAGGGTGATCGGTAAAAAATGAAGCAGCTTGATTTTTATTGAATTTTGAGATTTTTTGTTTCGATCAACAACAAGCAGGCTGCAACGTAAACGTCACTTATATAAGCGACCTTCGCCTATCATTCTGGCAAAGCGTCAACGCTCCTCTCCCACAACCCTAAGCGTGGCGCTCTAAAGAACTCGAACAGGGTTTTTTGAACCTCGCTCATTCTTGCGCTGCCATACCGCAAAATTATAGAGCAATTGATATACCATTCGAAAGAGCTGTTCGTGCTCTTTCAAACAGTATATGAAACCTACAGAATTTCTTTCTATTGGGTAAAAAAAAGCGAAATGCCTGGAAAATCGCGATTTTTTGGCGCAACAAAAACCAATAAATGAAGTTTCAATCTGTATTTTCTGAAGATAAATAAAATGTGAGGTAAGCTGCAGGATGGATAGAGCGCAAAAAGCTCTTTCAGTTGGTACCTATAAAACTTGCGTTCACCTGCAAAGAACTGAATAGCACGTATCTTTGTTCTCAAAGCTGCTAACGGCCGTATTTCCAGAATTTGAAGATGAGGCCAGCAATCCATCGTGGGTCTATGACTGCACCTTCACGCATTGCAGCAGTAGTACTTTGGATGGTTTCGCATGTTTCACTGCGCAAATACTGCCCGAAGTTTATAATTTGTCAAAGTGACTAATTTGAATTTCAGCCACTATAGAAATTATTAGGTACGTAAATGGCCTTATAAAGTATTTAATAATTTATTCTAACATTTGTCAAAATTGGGAAGTTTAATCACTTTTCTTTTTGAGAAATTTGCATTTATTCTCTAGGTGCCCCATTTTTTACCGATCACCCTAATAGTTGTACTTCACAATGGTGCTGTATGCTGAAAGTTTCCTGCTTCAGATCTAATTTCAAGCCAGTTTTGAGGAGAGCCATATAAAGATCGTTGAAACATATTGGGTCGAGGAGATATAACCATCAAAGTCTACATGCATACAAAATGACAGGACAAATATACCCTAAAATCTCACAGATAAGTCCTCCCATTAGACAAGTCCGTCTACAGATAAGTCCGCCTTCAGATAGGTCCGATTTTTTGACTCAGTTAAGGCCCTTCAGATAAGTCCGCCTACAGACTCCGTTTTCTTTACATTATAAGTACCCTGAAACCTTATCACATAAGTCCGGACTTATCTCTAAATGGACATATCTGATGGGTAGACTTATCTGCAAGATTCTTGGCGGTGCGAGGATGCATTTTCATCGATTTTTCTTGTCAAAAAGCGGACTTATCTGTAAGATTTTAGGATAGCATAGCCGCTCTAAAGACGGCCCCGACCTATTATTTACAATGTGACTGCGCTGTTTGATTTTCGCGCTTCCTATTTTCCATTTCCAACTTTGACTTTCGAATCTAAACTATTTTCTATAGCCAGTGCTGCCACTTTTGTGACAAAAGCATTTAGCCTAAAAATTGGAGTCAAATGTGTCACAAAAGTTCTTCACAAAATTTTTAAGCACTTACTTTCTCACGTAGGGGTTTTAGGCCTCGCTGATTTTTCTTGTCGCATATGATATTCGCGTAAACGCATAGGTACTCCGAAGGGCTTTGCGCAAGATTTCTCACAAACAAGCCATCAACTGTGGTGTTATGCTGCGTTATAACTTAACTTCAAGGTGTGGTGGGTGTGTACTGGTTTGTACTGTACTGATAAGAAAGGGTCACGAAGTCGAACTGGCCGATTACTACAAGCTGCACACCACAAGTGCGAGCTTGAAACGCTGATTTCAAATCTGTTTTTCTCATTTGCAGAGGGAAGACAGTTGGGGGCATTTTTTGAGGCGGAAAAATGAGCTTTTGGCAGGAATGATGTCGATGGTTACGGACCTTTTGGATACGTCGGATGGAGAGATGAAAGTTCCAGATAGAAACAGAAGAAGTTTAATATCAAATGATCCTAAGACTTGCCTGTTCCACTCAAGGTCAAGAGGCTGTTGCAATTGACTTCATCCCGGCCATTAGTCCATTTTCGACCCCTAAAATGCTCATAACTTCTCTTCTAGAAGCTCTCTGCAAATAGGGGAGAGCGGGTTTGCAGCTCTCACAGCTTTCCGATAATATGCAGTTCGCTGTGATAGGACACTTCGACTTCGAGGTCCTCCCTTGTGTGAGTAGTCCACGCCTGTAAAATGATAAATTTGCAAATTCAGGTCCTTAGACCACTCTGGACTGAGTTTCATACGTTCCGTGGACGTCATCTTATAAAAACTGCGTGGTTTATCTGCGTAAGAGCCTGAAATACCAGTATTTTAATTGATACTAACGAGTATAAAAATTGAACACACTGAAAAAGGAATCATAACAGGAAAGCTATGCCGAAACATGACACATAAGGAGTGTTTTGCAAGTTCTGTATCCCTCACTACGAAGTAAACTTAGAAACAAAGGGTGATGATAAGAAATCTATGATAGATTGTTTAAACAGGCTTACAAATTTTCAGATGTTCATTATTTTTCGGTTGAAAGAAACTTGGAGATATTTGGAAAGGCACTGTATGATCACACATGCAAAAAGTTAGGAATTAAAATGCTCTCTGGTCTTTTGTTGGTCTGGACGAGTAAGATATGCTTTCGGGTTGCAGGCTTTGAAGAAGGCGGAAGCGCCGAAGCTTCAGCGAATAAAGAGATATTATCAACCTTGAAAGTTCCCTTAGCCAATTGAACTACGAATATCCACCATGCCAAGATTAAAAGGCAGCCGAACGTGGACCAATTCCAAAATGCTCTTGATTATGAGGCTTCTGTACAGTGTCACAATAACTTGGTCAATTGTTTCAAAAAATATTACTTCCATATTGATCTCAAAAGGTTCAATAAACAAGTAAATTTTCATTTCTGGACGAACACTAATGTAGTTGCCTAAAAATAAAAGCTATTCAATTTCGAAATTGCACGTTACAAAAGCTCCTATATTCAAAAATTTTGCGTGCTCGGAAATTATATTTGATTTTGTGTTCACGGCTCAAAAATTTAAGAGTTGAGATGATCTGGATCTGTTTGTATTGGAAATTTTATCCTTTATTTGCTTATATTAGGCTGATGCAAAAATAATGGCCGATTTTCCAACCCTTTTTTCAGGACAACTTTTTTCCAACAAAATGTCTTCTTTGGAACAAACTTAGCTCTTCTTTAAGAAGCTGTTTTCATGCTCTTTCCACCGGTGTTGAAGCGGGCTTCCAACCTCACGTTATAAAATGACTAAACTTCAAAAAACCGCATCTCAACTCAGAATATCATTCCATTCACTTTTCTGGCCAGAATTCAAAGCGCATGAACGGCGCTTCTTCAAAAAATTTAGCTATTGTATGTAATGGAAATTGTCTACATTATGCATACTTGATTGTATCTTCTGAAGTTATCCAGGCTGTGATATCTGCGCCTAAACATGGGTAGCCGTTGCGGTCATTTTATGACCTATAAATTTCTTTTGAAGAAGTCAATCGCCAAAGCTCATTTCTAAAAGCGTAAGGCTAGGGCATCCTATTAGCAGTTTTTGTGAAAACATCCGGCTGTTCGTACGCATAAAATTAGAAAATTTTATATTCAGGACTCTGAGGCTTACTGAAAAAATGTTTAAAAATCTGACAATTTTGAATTTTAATTTTTTTTTTCCTTTTCGCAAATTTTTCGTCCAAACCCTTTACATCGCATCTTGTACTACTGGCTTGCGGCTACAGGATAGGCCACTTATCATTCATACTTACAAATATTTAAGGAAGTTTTGAATTGTCAAATACAAGGCCAGAAAAAAAACCTTTTTTGTTTTCCAATCCATATTTTTTCCAGCACGTTTATAATTTGAGTACAAATAAACGCACTTAATGCGAAAAGTTTGCTGTTTCTGATGGTCTTTACCACGTCAAGAAAATATAAATTTTTCAAAAAGTTAGAGTAGGTCAAAGTGAGAATTTGCAAAACGGCCATTACTTTTGCATCAACCTAATATTTTGAAAAAAAAACCGTAACTTCTTTTGCTGCGAAAACTATGATACAACCGCAAACCGTTCACCTGATTCATCTGTTAAAACGAATGGGAAAAATTGCACGACTAGTGTCACATGTGCGTACGACATGGATGTATTGTTCGGGCCGAACCCTGATCTGGCAATATGGAAAGTCCAAAAATCCCTTTGTTTACAGGTGTACAAGCCCACATTAACATGCTTGTTTGATCAGCAGAATGTGGAAACTATTCGACACTGAAGACAAGCCTACATAAGCACTGCTCCGAGCATGGCATAGCAGGAATCAAGCTGATATGCATCAGTTCTTTCTTCTCTCAACTTATTTTGGATTATGGTAAAATTGAGGTAGTTCAAAATTCATAAAGCAGAACTTTCTGCACTTCTAGAGCATAACCTTGTTTCTTCATACTTCATTTGAGCTATAAAGATAGCCATACTTTGCTAGAAAATAGGCGAATTCACATAGATAGAATATTTCTATTTGCAAAAAATGTCAGTGCTAGTTTGAAAAATGTGTAGATTTTGAATGCGCAAACAAAAGTGTAATTAGATACATTGAAAAGATTGTATCGTCGAGTCATTTCGACTTCATGCGCACATTGCACACCATGCGCGCTATTTGACGATTTGTAAGATTATAACTACCTCATTTCCAGTAATTACTCCTTGTTTCCATGTCTCTTCTAATTTGCTTGGATATGTATCTGCTAGCAGTACACACTTGTACAGTCTATTAAGCTAGGAAAGGTTATAGTGAAGAATTACTAATGAGGTTGTCGTCGGTTGCCGCGCATAGTGTGCAAACTCACAGTAAGTTGCAATGACTCAAGTTACCATATCATTTTTCAATAGGTAAAATGCTGGTTGCACTCTTCGCTATTGCCGGTCTTGCTGCCAGCGCCAATGTTCAAATTAATATGGATTTTAACTGCACCACCTTCAACCCCGCCGGCGTCTCCGCCACCCCCTCTCCGGGATTTGTGGTAGAGTTATTGCCTTTTTGATGTTACCGTTTATGCACAGTTATGCAGATTGATGCAATCAATTTTTAGCTCACAACGGCAGCCACAGCTTGCTCAGACAAATATACTCCAGCAGCATGTTCAGCTATATTCGGCGCCGATATTGCAAATGCTGATTTGCGTCCAGAAGCATGTAGCATGGTACGTTTCTTTTTTTCATACCCTATCGATATCCCTAAAGTTTTTCGTGTTAGGTAGGCACCGGAACTGACGCGGTCTTCAACGAAGATATAAAACAACTGGCTGTTTCTTCTTGTCCTAAGCACTGCGGTTACTGTTGCGAAACTCCTGAGTACAAGTGCGAAAACAAGCCATGTACGAATATTTTAGTGCTTCCCATTCGATACGATGTTAATGTTTGAATAATTCTAGTCCCAAGAACCAATTGCGCAACGGTAAAACCCGTACAATGCACAGACCCTAAATGGCGCCAAATTCTGGCTGAAGACTGTCCCAATGTTTGTGGATTCTGTCTCACTGGTAAAATCTACAAATTTTATTAACGTCAAGAGTTCTTATGGTTTTTTCTCGCTCAGGTGGATGCATCGACGCAGCTATTGAGTGTGCTAACGACAAATCTATCTGCAGAAACGTCGACATGCAGTCATTCGTCAAGGTAATTTAGTTTTGCTGATTTTGAAATGTTCTAAAAATGGAGAGGTGATATTACTGCTAAATCTCACTAAATCCAAAGGCTGGGCATCTCTAAATGCTCGTGGAAGTGCCATTACCGTAGTCTTAGGCTTACGGCAGGCCCGCGTCGTTACCGTAACCCGTCTTCAGTCGATCTCCAGATTCTCCTCCAAATCAAAACATACTTAACTGATTTTTTCTGAATAAGCTCATTCCTGTGTGCAAACTTTCTCACAAAAATGGATTTTCTTTTGAGCTCAGTGAACGTGATTATAACTGAACCAAGAGGAATAATAACGAATAAAACTAGCAATAAATCATTGTGATTCAGGTAAACTGTCAAAGAACCTGTGGCTATTGTTCTACCACAAGCCCTGGATCCGGTGTAACAGCAGGTAAGTGAAAAAAGGAAAGTAGAAAACGATTCATTCATCCTTCTATTTCAGCTCCAACATGTGTCCCTGCAGTTGCCGACAAAAATCCTAGGTATGGTTCTTTCCGTAAGTACACTGCATGATAAATCATATACGATTACAGTTGTGCTAACTGGGTAAAGAACGGATTCTGTAACAACACATTCTACACTAAAGCTCAGCGACTTGCTGACTGTGGCAGATCTTGTGCCTTCCTTTGCTGAGAACTTCACTTCACTCAACCCAGATTCACGAGTACCATGATGCAACACAACAGTATATTAGAAAATATAGCGCTAATGTTTTGGTGTGACCAACCAAGACATAACCAATAAAGTGCTTCAAGATACTGTTTTTGACACAAGAAAATGCTTTGTTGGAAGTTCACTCAAGCTCACTTTTATACAGTAAACAGTCCAGGCGTTTGCCTCTATGTATGGCATCGTTTGTTTTAAAACTCAAATTACACCTTTGAGCCGAGTTATCAGTGCAATAGTCTCCTCAAAATGACTGGACTACGAGTTTGGGAATCTGTATGAACAAAACAAAGGAAGTTGTTATATTTGAGAACTGCTGAAGCTAAAAGTCTAAATACTAACTTAGATATAAAGATCGGTTCATAAATATACGAACATCACATATTTTGCCATTTCCAGACTTTTTAAAAGAAATTTAAGGAACCATCGGTAGCATGTGAAAGAGCGTAGCCGAAAACATACGCAACACAAAAATGAAAACCGGTGTCAAATTTGGAGAAGCCTTGTGCGCCGAACGCTTTTTTGACCGTTCATAATTATACGAACACCTCAATCATGGCTCTTTTCTCGCCCAATGTTGCAACCTTTTTCGTTCAAACTTTCATGGAAGGCCACGATTCCAAAGTCTGAGATATCTACTATGCGCTGAACGTAATGACGTTTGAAAAAGGGAACCGCTACTTTTATAGCTCGAAACGGCTTCGAACCAAGTCGGCTTTAAAAATGCCGATTTTACTGAGATTTCGAACTTATATCCAGCTCATACAGATAAAAAGTAAGAGGCCAATAAATGTGCTGTCCAGCGTCTATAAAGCCTTGTTGTAATCGTCTTGTTGCCAACCCAGTCCCAAACTACCACAGAGTTGGCACAATTTTGAGCGTCAAAACTCGACTTTTGCCGTCCGCAAAGTTTTGTAACGTTGTAAGCACATCGCGAACTTGATTCTTGTGTGATGTACAAGATTCTGTACTTTATTCGAAAAATGCAAAAGTAGAGCTTGTCTCGACCACGCAATCGGCCTTCAATGAAAATGAACAAGCGAATTAACGCAAGCAGCCTTCTCTTGCTTTCCACCTCCGAAGCTTTCAGGATAGTTTTGCGGAGAAAACTCAAAACTTCAAAACTCTAGCATAGATGTATAATTATGCAAACGACGCATTAGTCTCATCACAGTACTTTGCTGACGGCAGATGTCGAGCTTTGACGCTCAAAAGTGTGCCAACTCTGTGGTAGTTTGAGACTGGGTTGGCAACTGGGACGATTACAACAAGGCTTAGACGCTGGACAGTACATTTATTGGCCTCATACCTTTTATCCGTATGAGCTTAATAAAAGTCTCAGTGGAACCGGCATTTTTAAAGCCGACTCGGTTCGGAGCCGTTTCGAGCTATAAAAGTAGAGTAAAGTTCCCCCTTTTATACATTATTACGTTCAGCGCAAAGTAGATATCTCAGACTTTGGGATCGTGGCCTTACATGAAAGTTTGAACGAAAAAGGTTGCAACGTTGAGCGAAAGAAAGAGCTGTGATTGAGGTGTTCGTATAATTATGAACCGATCAAAAAGGCGCTCGGCGCACAATGCTTCTCCAAATTTGATACCGGATTTGATTTTTGTGTTGCGTATACTGTTTCCGGTTACGCTTCACATGCTACCGATGGTTCCTTGAATTTTTTTGAAAAGTCCGGAAATGGCAAAATATGTGTTCGTATAATTAGAACCGATCTTACTTCAACCTTTTCCCATGACTGGAAATGAGGCTAAGGCCAGTGATTATTGGGTATTAGAACTTGGGGAACTCGGACAGAAGCTTCTGGGTTATACACACACAGCCAGTATCAGTAGTTCACAGCTGATCCTTAATATCATAGTGAAGACTGATTTTCAAAGACTGTCATTAAATAACATCGCTCGGTTCGAATTAGAATTCCTAGCGATGCAAAAATTCTAGAAAGTACGCTTCAAGAACGAGTTCTACGCAGAAAAGTTCTTCAAAAAAGGCAGTGGCTTGACAAACCTGAACCTTTTGGAATTTTGATGTGGTAGTTGCTTACTTCAAATTTTTCTCATGACTGGAAACGAGGCTAAGGCCAGTAATTGTTGGGTATTAGAACTTGTGTAAGTCAGACAGAAGCATTTGGGTTACAGTATAGGAAATTAGACAAAAAGAAATTTTACTTTGCCTTCAACTCCTTTGTATGTCGAACTGCTGGATGGATCGAGCTACTACCAAAAGAGATTACTGTTTGCAATGCTTCAGCAAAACTCCGTAAAAATTTATCCTCGATTGTTATTTTAGACACTGTGGGGATTCCTGACGTTCAGTAGATGCCATACTCTATCATCCTTGAGTATGTTTTTATGATTTTTCTTTGTCGCAGCTTCAAAATTATCGATACGCCTTCTTGTGCGTACATTTTTTGTAAAACCTCAAAACATCTTTTGCGTTTCCCTAAAACGTATTATCAGCACCGCTGTAGCAGTCTCTTCGTATGGATTAGCCGTTTGAGAACTACAAAGTTGGCGAGCCCCCTTCCTTGAGGTCCCCACTCCTATTCGTTTATGGTCTCTGATGGGTCCGTCCGCCTTGAGTGAAGTTCGTCACAGTATCCGCATTTGGGTTTGGGTAAGGGAAAAGGATCTCGGCAGAGGATTTCTCACTTACTAAGAAGGAAAACGACCTGAAGACTCCAGCAAGAGACTTGACTTTTACAATGATCTGATATTCTTTTGGTGCATATTGTGTGCAAATTAAATAATTACATAATTAGAGAACAGAGCAAGTCCGGTCCCAGAACACGCCCTTAGAGAGACAGTGACAGGCAGTTGATTTGCGGCAAAATGCTTATATCGTTCGGAGAATCTAATGATGCTCTTTTCAATAAACTTATCGATTACGATGGATAGCTGACCCACTCCGATTGTTCAGCCTCAAAGGTGAAACTTTCGAAAGAAAAAGATGCATTTTCGACATCTGCTCTTTTATCTTCCAAATAAGGTTTTTGCATGATTTTTGCCGACTATGGAAAATACCATTTGTACTTTAATATAAGAGAAAAGGGATGAATCATTTTCAGAACCAAGTGTCAATTAGAGTATCCATTGAACAAGACTTTTAGTGAGAGAGCAGAGCGTTCTGAAACTGGACAAGATCAAAATGGTCAACCGCGTGCAACTTAGTTACGGAGAATTTCGAAAAGGATTTCATTGAGAGCCATATTTTGCTTCAGAAAGAAAGCTAAACAAACCAAAAGCTTTTATACTGGGCTAAGCAAAGTCGCAGCTTAAAAAAATCAAATCAATTAACTTACTGCTTCGTTCATGAATTTCCCAGTTTTCGTCAGAAATTTGAATGTACCATTGAGACGCACAAATTTCGTAAAAAATTATTGTCTATTGGAATCAGCATGCTTCAACCTTCTTGCAGAAATTCCCGAATTTTTGGTAGGCTATTTTCATTGAGTTGTTTTCAGTGATTCTATTAGGTTCTAAAGAAATCCCCGGGCAGTTTTGGAAAATTCATTGTCAGACTCACTTTCTTCGACTCGTTTAAACCATAACGATGAATATTTTATATGGTTCTGTAGCAACAAGCCTAAGCCTTCTGGACTCGCATTCAGTTTTTATCCATGTCAAGCCGTGTTCGATCTACACACCGAAAAAGGAAGTCTGCGCAACGATGAAAATTTCACACTTTTTCTTTTTGCTGCCATTTTTTCGCAGTGAACAAAGAAAACCATTCGAGAAATGGTTAGTCTAAATGAGGAAGCTGTCTACTTAAAAATCGCAGCTGTGCTCGGATTTTACAATACGCATACAAAAATTACAAGCTCTCAAACTTGTCCTTGACCGTACCTTTTTCGTTGTGGGCGTCGATTTTGTAAGGATCGTCAATCCTCGGTGATGGGCCCAAAAGATGTGCAAGACATTATCTCAACAATATTTGCAGCAATCAAAGATTTGATTCATTCTGTGGAAAAAAGAAAGACTTCAAACTCATTTACTCAAAAAACTGGGGCATTTTTGAGGCGCAAAAATGGCCGATTTTTTGATTTTTTAGAGAAAAATTTCTTCACAGGCTGTGCTTTAAAATTCTGACACAGTCCATTGATGGCCCCAGCAGAGTTCTACATATCTACGGGATATGAACTCTCCAGCTTTCTTCGTGCTTGAGAAACTCCTGTACTAACAGAGCGAATTTTAAAGTCGAATTTTTTCCTTACTGCGCATGCTGGTGACCCGAAATGAAGCGCTGAGGACCCAACAAATTGAGCATAACTTACAGACAACATTGCCTTTGCGGCGAAGTTTGCAGCTTTCAAAAAGGATCCAATTGCTTGAAGTTACAGCAGTTTGAAAAAAAAATTCGCAAGTGCCCGTGAACTTTCTTTACAACCCAACATATGCCTGACGTTCCCACCGTAATCCTACAGTTACGAAGAATGATCGGTAATTTGCTCCATACTGTAAATCTGAGCTGAACCCAGCTCTAAGAAACCCAAGATTTACGAAACAGTTTGTATTTACTAACATTTCACTGTGCACATTTTATTGGGACACCCTGTATACTCCGTTTATGCATACTTTCCAAATTAATGGCTACAAATTGGAAAATCGGGGACGAGTGGAGTAGCGGTATGAGGTCCGCCATGACCAAATCGGACACAGGTTCGATCCCCGCCCCTGGGCCAACCAAGCCCTCTACCCTCCGGGGCTGGTAAATTGGTACCAGAGTAATCTGGGAGGATAAAAGCACTGACTTGGAAACGGCTGGCCCCCGCAAGTCACTGTGATAGGCTCGCACGCATACATTTGCCTCTTCGTCTATGAAGTTAGTGTGTGCGTTCGACGCATGCCCGCAGAGGGTATTGAAGACGCCGAATCCTTTATCCTTTATCCGTAATTGGAAAATCTGCATCGTTGCCGTTATCAAAAGGTTGTGGTGGAACTAACATCAGTTTTTACTAAACCCTGTCATTTTGTACCCTAACAGTGTACTAACAATCAGACCGACTTTTCTGCTGTTACAGAAAAAAATTGTTTGTTACCGAGAACTGTCGAGGACTTGGGTGGACGGTGCCTTCAAGCTCAACTTGAGTTCATAATGCTCCGATTGTAAACTATAAAGTGCATTTCAAAAGTAGAAAGTTTTCAATTAATAACGTAAGTTTAACGTAATCGTCATGCGCAGCGATCTTGAGCCGGAAAACAACTTCTCTATGATTGGGAAATCGGATTAAAGGACCTCTATTTGCACAAATGTAATTGGTTAATGCAATTAATGCATTTACTCTGCCCCGCACAGTAAATAAAAGTAACTGGCAAGCTCTACAGGTGTTCACGGACAAACACTAGTATCTAAAAAAGTTCAAGAACCCAATCGCGTTTTTACTCAAGAAAATTCTACTGATCTCTAATTTTTCGAGAAATGTGATATACTAGACATTCATAATGCACTAGCTGTGTTTTTTCCTGGTAGGGATCGGAAAATTTGAAAATGAGGTAATTTTGCGGAACAATGCTGGTTTGTTCAAATGGGTGAATGTTTCTTAACACAGATCTTTGCAAGTACCACAAATTTTTAGCGTGACAAAATTTCGAATTCTTTTCATCTTTTGGTGGAAGTATATTAGACAGTATACAATCTGATTTATACATTAGACCCAATCTGTTTTATTTTTTAGTTAATACACTCTAAGAACTGAGAACGTAGCACGTTTAGCAAGTGATGTCTGGCTTTTCTTTTATTTTCGCCTTTTTCGGAGCCTACAACAATGAGAAGATTTGTATTCCAACTCAAGTGCTCAGCTCATAATCTTAAGATCAAGAGAAGGCAAGTGTTCGAATTGAAACAATGCACTTCATGCTTAAGCTTTCACATGCCCAAAACAATGGTGAATTTATTGCCAACCTCATCAAATGCTTGAGTTCCATAGCGAAATGCAGTATTCAAAGCCAAAGCGAGAAACTATTGCTGTATGACAGCGACGAGGTCAAGAGTACCTTTTGATTCAACTGGATTGCCAGCTGGAAGGCGGGGCTTCGTGACCTATTTCGGGCTAGAAGCTGATTAGAGAGCACGTTCGCAGGGACGTCGCGGACGCGCGCGCTTGCCTTCCAGCCGCCAATCTCGTTGAATCAAAAGGCAGATACAGAGGAACTCGATAACTAATCAAGCATAAAATTTAAGTGTTATACAAGGCGCTATAACTAAAACAGAGACTCAAAAACATAGCGAACCCGTTTCGATAACAAATAGAACTTGAGAGTGACATAAAGCAGGAGGGCATGGAAGCAGTAGGACTGGTAGATAGAAGCAAAAGCGAAGGGAAAAGATGAGCAAGTGCAGAGTTTGTTAATGTCTGGACTGTTTCAAACGGGATAATGGGGTGAAGGCTGGAAAGGGGGCAGCAGAGTGGAGGGGGGGGGGGTTATGCAATGAGGCTGACGTGCTCGCAGATACACTGTTATGATTAACCTTAGAAGCGGTGTCCAGGCAAATCTGTGCACATGGGTTTCTCGCCTAGAAACTGATGAGGGGGTTCTAATTAAGGTACTGCCCAAGCGGCAACGCAAATAATGCAGTCATCGGCTGAGAATTCCGTCCCCAAAACCTCCGCCGTGACCGTAACCCGGAAATGAGCTCGCTTACATGAACACTACGTTCGCGCTGGGGCCCATCCTGAGTCACTCGCGAGTTTCGGTCACGGTGCAGGCGCGGAGGTTTTAAGGATGGATTTTTCAGCCGTGAATGAATCCCTTGCCCTGCCGCTTGGACAATGCTTTAGCTAGAACCTCCTTATTGGTTTCCAGGCGAAAAACCTATGTGCTTAGATTTGCCTGGATACTGCCTTTAAGGATGCCATAATCAAGGAGAAGGCTTTATCGCAGAAAGTCGATATACAGAATGTCCCAAGACATAACACTCTTTGATCGTTGTTAACCCTCTTGCATTTGTGCTCCGCCGATCTTCAAGAGCTCTTTCGTAAAGCTGGCTTCAACTTCTTTCATCTACAGTATGGAGTGAATCTCCCATCACTCTTCACTACTGTAGGAATACGGAAGGAACTTTGAATTTCAGGTCATCGAGAGCCATATTTTGGCACAGAAAGGAAACAAACAAGCCAAATAGTCGTAGACTAGGCTAAGCAAAGACGCTGATTTCGAATATAAGCTTTGCACTTTTATAAGTTCTCTCCTAAGTACTCCAGTTAGACCGTAGCAAATGTTTTATTTTTATCAGAAATGTGATTACACCATCAAAATCTACCCCTAACAACTCGTAAAAAGTAATTTTCTGAAATTAGCATGTGCGAATGCCCCGCTACATAATTTTGATATTTTTTGAAGAAAATTTTGTCATACGCCTACTGCCCTATGGTTTTGTATGCTAAATTTTCTAGTGTATTCTACAGCAACGAAGAGCAATGTTAATTCGCTCTATACTGTAAATCCAAGTTGAAGCCAGCTCTACAGATGGTACCCAAAGAATGTAGAAAGACGTTTTGCAGGAGACTTATTAGCAATCAAACAGTGTGCACATTTTTGGAACACCCTGTAAATCATGATTCAATCGGATTACCGGCTGGAAGGCGGGGCTTTGTGACCCAAATAAGGCCGCCCGCGCCTGCAGTCTGCGTCTCTTTCGCGCGCGTGCTCTCTGATCATTCTTTAGCCTTACGAAGCACCGCCTCGTCCGCTCTGCCAATGGCTTGCCCCACATCAATAAGCGCACAGTGCTGGCATACGGCCAGAGGATCGAAGGGAAAAGCAAGGCATGGTCCTGACGCGATTTGCTAATAACATTAAGAGGTGACACAAACGATGCGGTGCCGACGCCATTATCCCAGTTTCGATCTGGTCCTGTTGAAACGAGCTATGAATGCTATCAAATCGCACTCGCGCAGACTGCACACTTAGCCTCATTGCGCAGTCCTTTTTTTGGGGGGAGGGGTGGGAGGGGGGAGAGAGGCCACAAGTAAAATGTGGTGCTTAATTACAATAGCTGCTCTCTCAATTCTGGAGTCGGTGACCATGCGACACGTAGGAATATTGCCAACGCGGCCAAATTGAGCAATTCAAAAATGAACAGAAAAATGTAGTCAAAACGTGAGAACACCCTGGACCACTCGTGCTGCACCTAAAAACAAATATTAGCTACTAACATTATTTCGACAGCTCACACACTCACAGCTTTTCTTTGCAATTTCTGTTCCGTTTTCCGGCGAAGGTTCCTGTGGGAATCTGCGATCTCTTCAAGGATGCTGTAGATCATAGCCAATTCGGGCACTTTCGAGACTCGTTCATTGCTGAAAATGTTTCTATGATCTACGAGTGAATGCAAATCGCTTTGGACTATACTTTTCTTTATCAATGCATGCATTATAGTACGAGTTCCTTGTGATGACCGTAGATCTTCGTTTCCGATACTCAGGTATAAGCAAGAAGCGTAACATGCGTTTTGATGGTAATTGATCTGAAAAGAAGCAACGTATTAGGTTGGAACATAAGTCTTGCAAAAAAATTTTAGAAAATTCTCTGGAAAACGTTTAGAGCGGCGTCTCGATAAATAAGCACTTTTTTCACTGTACATAAACAATGAGTACCTTGAATTATACTCTAAAATTTCAAAACCATTAGCAAAACTCGAAAATAAAAATTTAAAAAGAATTTAAAAGTCACAACTTTTCGAAAAAAAATCCCATCGGTACAATCTTTTTGAAACGCCAGATTATAAAACTCTAGCGAAAAGTATTGATAAATTCTAGTGCATCAAGCATTTCTGGGGAACACAAATGGGGAAAATGAAATTTGGGTGTTTTGCCACGAAAAGATTTTCGTAGGCCACTCTAATTTTTTGATGAATTTTCCATAAATTTCTGATTAATTACCGATCACTTACAAAGAATAACAAGTTTCAGACAACTTGCACAAGCTTATGAGGCTTTTAAGTAACCCCTAAGATTTTGTGATCCATTCGGCGAGGGACCGCTCCTCTCGCCACTGGAGCATTTTATAAGAGTACCAGATATGTGTAAAGTTTTGCAGCATCGCAACAGACATACCTTTTTCGATGTACTGTCGGCTGATAGCAAGGAATGCCATTGATATACTAACAGCCACTGCACATAGTAAAATTACTATGAGAATGTAGTAGCCTGAAAATAATTATGATAGTAAGAATAGTTTATGTTGTGTGGATAATCATGTGATAAGAATGGTTCTCAATCAGTTTTCGGTTTTAGATTGCCCGGAAATTTATGCAGGCTTCGCATATTTTCAATTTAAAGTGTCATGATCCCTTTAGGATTGCATATATTGATGTAAATTGAAAATTATTGTGATTATTAAGCTCCCATTTATCTAAAGTATATCCACTTGTACCTGTAGCTCTAACGAGCGAGTCACTGGAAATCAGAAATCAAGGAGAACTTTTTTTAGCAACGCCATTTTGAGAAAATTGTAACTCCTATTGGAAATAAGTGTTCAACGGAAGCATTTGCACCTTCTAGCCACAAAGCAGTACTACCTACTTTAGCCATGCAGAGGTTCTTTTTGGGAATTTTCCGCAGAACAAAGAATGCGGAATCAAAATTTTCCATTTTCCTGATCTTTTCTTCTCCAAAATTACTGGATTTCTTTATCTAATGACCAAAAATAAAGCCTGAGAGGTGCCAAATGAAGTGGTACCTGACGGCTTTGGTCTCACACTTTCAGCAGAGAAAGCGACTTTCAGGGTGCTCTCAAAAATTTTTTAGGCCGCGGAGGAGTAAATCTTGCTTGAAATAACTATATCTAAAATACTGTCCAAGTCAAAAACCTTTTATGTCGCTCAACTCTTATTCTCGTCATTTACTCATCCACACAAGAGCATTATTTGTGTGCGGAGTCTTGCATAATCATTTACATTTGAGAACTAAGCTTTTGAGAAATTGCCTCCTGCGATCACGTATTCCATTTTTTACCAGCACCCTTGACAACCAAGAAAAACAGTGTAAGCAATAAATTTTGTAATTTTGGAGCTGGAAGCTAGAACTATTTTCGTTCAACAAATATAATCAGTACCTAACAGTGGAATCGAATTACTCTTTGGCATGGCGCCAGCAACAATCCCGAGTAGAACAGTCATGGCGAGCAGACTTCCGAGCCCAAGCGAGACCTATAACTTTTACAAGTTTTCCTTTTTTCAAATTGCCGCTGTATAATTGTATGCAGGTGTAAAGTGTGTGCAGATAAAAGTAATAAGGTATGTGATGTTAGGTAAACAAAGTTATGAGAAGAACAAAAATGATGAAAGCTACGACTTCACGCACATTTTCGCTCGATGCATTCTGAAAAAAGTTTAGATGAGCACTTTTGAGCAGAGTTGTTATTTTGAAGAAAAGACTTGCTAACAATCCGACGAAAACTTTTTTTTGCTGATAGGGATACTACATTTGATCACAAAGAATATTACTAAAAAAGGATGAAATGTTGCCAGAAGCCATTCAAATACTTCTAAATTTTTACAGACAAGCTAACCTTCTCATTCCTTGGACCATCGCTAGAACCAGGTGAAAAGATGCCAAGAATAGATAGTGCAGAAATGAGGAATGTTGGAGCCACTATGACGGTGATATAATAGATTGGACGCCGAGAAAGATGGAAAATGTAATGCACCTGTAAGAATGTCTTTGATTATCGAGTCTTTATTGTTTTTTTTTACATTTCGGAAGATCAAATTAGTAACAATTCTGCTCTTCTTAAAATATCAACAAGAGCAAAATTAACCAAGAGTATTAATAATTTGCTGCATGGAACCCTGATCTTTCGTGGACACAAAGTTGAGATCTAGGCTCTATTCTATCAAGGTAGAAAATTCTTCTAGATGTATCAGTCATACCTACAAATATTTAAAATTGAACGGATGAGGTCTCAGACACAGGAAGAAATAAAAAAGCAGCACTTGTGTCTTAAAACAAAGCATTCATTATTAATCGAATCAAACGTCTACAAAATGTGCAATTTGCCCTAATAACCCTTTATAAATAAAAATTTCACCTCTACGCGTTTTTCTCCTTCCTCAACAAACATCATGTGCCGTACTGTCACGTTGAATAAATCCCACTCAGCGTTTCCCTGCAAATTATCGTTGTTTTCCTCAAAAACTTGTGTGAAATTCGCAAAAATCTTTTTACAGCAAAATACGAATCATTCGGTGGGTGCGTGGCGTCGACAATCATTTCGTTATCGTTGAGCAGCGGTGACGCTAATGCAACTGCGCAGAACTGCAATAATGGGTGGTCATTTAAATTTCCATATATGTAGATCTTTGAAATATAGTGAAATTCAATTTTTAAAAGTTTTGATACCTGACAGTCAAATGGAAAGGACGAGGTTTCAATTCGACATATAGCACTGACATACTGTGGTATGTTTACTTTGATGGCACCATCGCTATAGAGACGCACATCCGCTCTATTCGGGGTCAGCATTTCCTTCAATTCAAGGCTGAAAACGCATTTGTTTCATTCATTCTTTATCGAATCACTTGTTATATTTTCATTTTTACGAAGAATCACGACTATTCAGGAAGTAGATGCAAGAGTCATCAGAAAATTGAAAATTTGATTCGACACAGAAGAATAATGTTACTTGAGAAAAATGACTTCAGACAGTAGTTTCTAGGTTAGAGGCAGTTTGATATTATCACACTGATAAGATTTGACAATGAATCCAAGTGTCCATTGAATACTTTTACTGAGTTGTTTTTTCAAAGATATTTTGTAGAGGTCGAATACAAAGCATTTCCTTTTTGAAGATCTTATATAGTCGGAAACTTCTTGTGAATCAAAACTTTTAGAAAGTAGGCTAAGGTTTAATCCCCATAAATCTTTCCTGGGATCACTTGTCATCAGCAAAGAATTTATTGATTTATTAGGTTGGCACATAAGTAATGCAACTTTTTATATAACTTTTGTCTATTTGAACCTAGCGCATCCATTTCTTGGCAATATAAGGAATATGATGTAAGCTTCTAATGCACACATTTTTGCCGAACTTTACCATCTTATGTGAGGATTACGGTAGGTTTACGGTACTATGGGAAAAATTTTAGAATGCATCAGATTTTCCTAAAACTTGGCCAATAGGGCTTATTTGACATGCTGATCACAAAAATGAGATCCGTTTCGCATGAAAAGGCCTCGTTCGTGAGATCAAAAGATAAATTTCATTTTAGCGACAAATGAATATGATATTCGTGTTTACCGCACAGGATTACCCTATAGTGCAAAATTATAGCGAATTCTGTCTTTTCGCAGCTTAGTTATTGACAAATTGCCTTCAAAACTTGACGCATTTGACTTGTTCAACTTCTCAAAGGCGCCCCACCTTAATTTGTGTTTAAATTTCATTTCTTTTTCACTGATTCCAATGTGCCAACTTCCAGCTACATGCTATCTATGATTGCTTTTTCATATGTTTGAATCAGGTTTCGTAGGGCTTCATGTTTGCCAAAAAATCGTGAAACCTCGATTTTCAGCAGTTTTCAAAAAATGCTTAGATTTTTTGTACTAGGTTATCAAAAATCAAACTATTTGCACTGACTTGCAGCATACATCACGATCTACATGATCCACACAATGAGATTGCTACATAAATTAGGAAAAAAGTTACGGGAAAAGTTGCAAAACTTATGTGCCAACCTAATACTTATTTGACCATTCATTTTACCTACTCGTTCCTTGATTCTGTACCCGAATACTTGTTATTTTTCTTGTGATAGCATAAGATCCAAGCAAACAGTTCCTCTGGTCAATATCCCGCACATGTTCTATGAGCTCACCTGTTATAGACAAACAATTTTGGTATCCAGACCATGCTTTGAGGCACGATAACCTAAATTGATCAATTTTTGGTCTTACGTAAATTAGATCTGACTCAGTCACACTAGGGATAGAGGGTCTTTACATAATCTTATGAAGTACCTCTTTTTGTCCCCGGTAATGGTTCGGATCCCATCGTAACCGCCGATCATACCACCGTTGGGTATGTGATATGACGTAAGCAGCAAGTTGCTCGTTTTCTCTCTATAAGTAGCGACAAAGAATTTCTTTACACTTACATAGTTTATGACATAGTACATTGTATTATATCTATGAATTTTGAAAGTTTTCACTCACCACTTCCACTAGAATTCCAAGCACAATTGTCATGTTGATCACAACGGGGCCATCAGTGAAAGGTATTACTCTCTTGTCGTAAGAGGCAAAGATATCACGAAGGATCAATGATGTATCATTGTCTAAAATGCAAGCTACCTGGTGAGATTCTACATTGGCTAAGTTATGATTTTGAGTCTTTTAAATCCCAAGGTTTCCTTGTACGCTCTCAGTGCAGCAGGCATGTAGCAATGTTACTGAGGTTACTCAGCAAAAGTAACAATTTTATTTTTCCATCACGAGCACTTCTTCACTTCCCCAAAATTTGTTTTCAATCGAAGTGTATTCTGTGATTGTGAAGGGTGAAGGAGCTCCATACTTTAATCAGCTAAAACAATTTCTGACCAATTTTCAAGGAACACATACATGGGTTGCAAAGATTAAGGCTATCAACCCCCTTGGGCACGCATCGCAAGCTATGTCATCAAAACACAAAATTCGATGTTTCGGTCAACATTCTATCACAGGAACTTGAGGTGTCAGCACGAAAGACGCTCGAGGCATGCTGGATTCTATCTAGAAACTCCAAAAGGCGAAACGTTAGCCGAAAAGATGCTATAACAATTTTGGTGTTGGCTTAATCACAAAAGCAACTTAATTTCTGACCATAATCTACTTCCAAATGTTGTAGGAAGCATACCAAGCTTTTTGGTGTCAGCTTTTTTCTTAGTTGTGAGGGAGGACCTTGCTACACAAATAAGCAAAAATAAGCAGACAGATCAAAAAATTAGGGCAAGAAACTGCATGGGTATTTGTGGATTTTGCATGAAAATTCACTCTTGCTTCGTGTTTTCTCCAAGCATTCAGCAACCAGAATGTATAGTTTTTTACCAGTTCTGTTTCATCAACCTTCATTGATTATTATCACCTTCGTATTGGTGGTTGAAATTCAAACCCATTCTGCCCATCAAAATTTTACCAGAATGAACATGAATTCTAGTGAAGTTTTGAGCACTTCGCAAATTGTCCTAGAGAAGCAGCGATATGAGTCATGTGCAACCAAAGGGCATGCTTATGTCCTACAGAGCTATTTGAATAGCTTTCAAAAAAACTCTGCAAATAAAGGCAATATAGAATGCAGAACAGACTTTTTACTTCTCCACACGTACCTCCATATGCACCACAGTGAAGATTCGACACTCGGAGTATGTAAAGGGACTGTTTGGTTTGTTTTAAGTTTTCCAAGGCTAATATCATCTTTTACAAATAGATTAGATAATGTTTGGGATGTGGTAGTGTACCGGTTCTGAATAACTTTTCAAACATCGTACAAATTCGTTTTCCTTCCTTTAGGCAGATTTGCAGATCAAAATGGAGCTCTATAGTGTAGTTATGTAATTCCTTCATGGTAGAACCGATAAAAAGTAGACATTTGATTCCTCCAAAATTTGGATCACATCAGTGCCGACTTCATGGACAAGGGAATTCTTTGATGTAAATTTTTGATGTGCTATATTGTTGATAGGAATCTAGATCCTTCTTCAAACTCTTTTAATATAAGACGTTTTTGTTTTAACTTCTGTAACTTAGCTATTTTCAGTGGTAAAAATGTCCTAAAATTTCAAATCATCATTTGCGCGTATGCAGAGAGCACGAAAAACTTCTAATGCAGTGCATGATTTGGTAGTGATGGTATAATATGATAATAACTAAGGAAAAACTGTAAAATTTTTGTAGGGTACAAGGTGATCCGTAAATTCTGTTTGCTGCAAAACGATCTTTGGAGAGATATATCAAACAATGTGTTCTTGTCTGGATTAACTTGATCCTTACCCCTGACAGCTTCTTTGAAATTTTTTCTCTCTAGACACCAAGTTACCAGACTGTTGAAGTTTTAGAGACAGCTCTTTGAAGAGCTATTGCGTGGAATGTCGAATATGTCGGGAATATGACAGCGATGTGATCCTAGCACAAGCGAAAACAAGTCTGTGATAGCTGGACTAGCTTACTAACAACATTCTCGAACTTACCAAACCAAAGCGTGATTAAACATATAATGTACAATACAGCTTAGAACTAGTCAAAAAAGTCGTCGGACTTCACAGAAGTTCGCCGAAAGCCGCGTGTCATCACTACATCTTGATTTAGAGTGGACAAGTTCTGATTTTGAGGGCACTGTTCGACTTATCAATCTTCTGATACAGTACTGGTTCAAATATGGTATGGGTTAGATCTCATAGATTTTCATCTTCTGTAAGCTAATTGATGTGCAGTAAACAAGCACACTGATTAAGCTACCGTAGGCAAATATATGAAGCTATTTGCGAAATCTGGCCGCCAACTGTATCCAGAAGGGCATCTGTAAGTCAATGCGTCTCCAAGCTAAGTCGAACGGTGCCCTGCGATGCAGAAATCATCCACAATGGACCAAGATATGGCGGTGCGACGCAGATTTCGGTGAATACCGGTGGAGTTCGGTGACTTCATAAACGAAAATGAGCTATATTGTATGTATAGTACTAGGCGACTGTCAGGTATAGAAGACAAAGGCCCGTAGTAAAGCTCGGTCATGGGAGATTATCTCCCCTGAGACCTTCATGTGAGGTTTTGTCAGTAAAATGACGACCGCCCATTTCCCCATGCTATAGGGATGCAACGTCACCTGAGAGGTGAGCCTCAGGTGAAGTTCGGCAGGGAGATGATCTCCCTGCCGGGTCATGGGAGATGATATGAGCGATGATGTCCAGAAATAGTGTGCTAAAGAGGAAACGCAGAGAAAATCTTCGTAAGTTGCTCCTGAGTAACTTACGATACACAGCAATTTGCTTAACACTGCGGACAAAATAGGCGCAAAATTGCACAACCGCCGAAAAGGAGAGGATCGATGAACAGCTGATTTTGGCGAGGATGACAGAAAAAACAAATTCTTCTCTTTTTTGTAAACTTTACTGTTTTTTTTTGAAGCTGTCCAAAACGAGGACTCATTTGTTCATTTCATTGAATTCACGTTGCAACCATTTCGTTTTGTCGCAAAATTTTCGTAACGAAATGTTTTTTCATTTTATCTTTGCGTTTGCTAGGCGAAATCTTTGATAGCGGTCATCATCGATTGGATAGTGGCCGCTATCAAAGATTGCACGGCGATGCAGCAAAAGTTGTGTCGCTAGCCGGGGTCGAACCACGGCCGCGCGGGTGTAATTCCAATGGCTTACCCATTTAACCAAATCGAATCAAGTAGCTGTTTTTTCGAGAACGCACTTGATCATAATGTCCAGGAAGCGATCTGCATCCAGATCAATAGCTCGCCGGATGCTGGACTGGGGCGCCAAGATATCAACTCCGGTCCGCCTCAGGGGAGATGCCCTGACGGTAGTTTACTACGGGCCAAAATGTTTTGAGCGAGCCCTTTTTGTAACCGGCTCTAATTCAGCAATTTATATAAATCTCACATTTCGCGTGGATGAAGCATGCGCTTTCTACGCTTCTCATAACGATCAAACGGACAAGCCCTTTATTTGAGAAAAGTTTTGAAAGGAAAGTTTTACATTTAATGTTATCCAGGTTTGAAGTTTACAACGATTTTTCATTTCCCCAGAGAGCTAAAAGTGGAGAGAAGAAAGGTTCTTGAAGAATTTTTAGGAGTTGTAGATTGTTGAAGTCTACGTTAAAAAAGATAGCTTGTTTTTTCTAAAATGGATTCTCTAAATGCTTTCTGACGCTTGGACATCGTCACAACATAAAATAGTTCGAAGAAAGTGACCCACCTGGCTAAAATTGAAAAAGAGACTAATTTTTACATGTGAACAAACAAATTAACTGTTATCAAATTTTGATTCAAGTCCTTCAATGCGTTGGTGGTTGCCACCATTTCGTTGAAATTAGATTTTGAATTTTGAGGTTCATGGACCCGTGAAAACTTTGAAAAGCGTTCCAAACATTATTTTTGGTTGTCCACTCATCCCCGAAAATTCTCTCGGACCATCCCAGGCTTGTTGTAGAATTAATGGCATTTTTGCGATTATTCGTTTCTCAAGTGCTACTGTCCTCCAAAATCAGTTACGCTAATTCTCCCAAGCCGTGCAAAGGAACATTCATTCTGTATCACACTAATAATTCCTATTTTGTGCCAAAGTGCTGATTTCAAGTGCACCACGTGGAACCTAATAACATTTCAAGTCATCTCCATTGCCAAATTTTTTTGAGCTACCTGCAGAAATTATTCAGCAGAAATTATGTTATTCTGAGTCCAACGTCATTATAAGACCACCTTCGTTGTAAATTAGAGAGCATCACCTCACTTTAGGTAGTCATTTTCCCTTAATCAATTTCATGATAACGCAGGCCGTTACCCTAAATTGGCATAAGTTATTGGGGAGCACACTTCCGTCCAGTGTGAACTCCATTATGCTTAGCCAAGTCATGCGCAGTAATTCATGAGTGCTTTTAGTGGTCCTTGTAAAGCCAATCTGCATATGAGCATAGTTTCTTGAACACGACCGTAATTGGGCCAGTTTTTCTGAATCAGAGGATTTTGAGGCAAAAGAGACCGTCACTTGTTAGAGAACAATCGTTAAGTGCAAAAAGAAACTTTTGGAGTCGGATCACATGTCTTTTTATACAGGGTATAATTTTCGAATGTTTACGCAAATCTGTTGAGGATAGACAAAAAACTTTGAAAGCCTTTGTCATTAAGTAGAAAGAATCGAGTGATATTTAGGTGTTGATCTAACAAAAATTTACGAATTGAAATCTATGAGACCTATAAGCCCATAAGCGGATATCTTTGTTTACTTACTTATCTATAATTACTCGCACTCTTTGCCTCCAAAAGCACATATTTAGCAAAAAATTATTCATTATGTGCCAAGCCCATAAGAAGACCAAAATATCAAAAACGCTCAAGAAACGAAGAATTCCGAGGATGGCCTCGAAAAATCTTGCAAAGAAGTATCGCCGTAGAACTTGTTATCGCAGCCAACATTATGGTATCGAGATCATGATGCTTGATCTCCAAGAAATTTCAAAAAGATTGAAATCTATCAAATTTGAATTTCATCTGTTTCTTCAAATAGAAAAATCGCAAAAAGCCGACTTTACGTTAAATCGAAAGTCCAGATTTGATCCATTGTTTTTACGGCATATA